CATACTCTTTCCCAGAATCAGGCAGGAGACTCCTACAAGCTTGTGAAATTATTGCTTAAGAGGAGCAAACATGAAAGAAAGAAATCTGAATTTAGTCACCACCAAGAACAGTCTAGATTAGTAATAATGTGTCATACTGCACTGTAAACAGCTAGAGAGAGATGAAAGGCCCTTACAGCTAGAATTGTATTAACCTTTCATTATTTGCCTTATGTAGAGAGCTTATATTTAGCTCTTAGCTGATAAGACAACTTAGACGTTAAAGGTCCTTAGATATTACAATAAAATCTTGAGCCCTTAAAGACTCTGCTACTAAATACAGATATTAACATTTCATAAACAAGCTATATAATGAGTCTTGGCCTAAAGAAGTCACTACCTAGAAAGCTAGTACTCCCGAATTCCAAAGAAATTACATGGCACACCTTGAGATGAAACTGCCTGTGCTACAGCAAGAAGAGTATTTGCTTCAGCACAGTAAACACAATATCAGGACATACAGAAAAAACTTTGTTTCATGCAGACCTTAATTAGGGGACAGTTTCTCAAGAACAAAAACTAATCTAGCTTTTTTAATACTTTGAACTAAAGCTAATTTTTTTTTATTTTTTTTTTTTTTTTACACAGGGTGTCTTTGGAGAAAGTGCTACAACGGTCCCAATCTTTTGAAAAGCTGATAATGAGCAAATGTAAATAACTCCATGTTTGTATCCCAGATGGATTAGTGAAAAAATTTCCCATAAAGCAAAATGAATAAGTCATGCAGCATAATGTATGCTGTTTTCTACACAACAACTGTAAAACAACTTTGTAACATGCTTAGTATGCATCACACTGAAAATAACTATAGCATGCAATAAATACCTTCCCTCACTTGCCATTTCTGCAAGCATATTTGATTATCTTAAAGACATGTGACAAGGGCAGGTTTTTTTGCCATATCCCTGCTTAAAGCGCTGTATAGCAATACATATATATATATATATAGAGAGAGAGAGAGAGAGAGAGAGAGAGAGAGATTGTATCAGCCTTTGGATAGGTTCAGAGACCAGGAAGAACAAAGTTTTCAGTGCTCTGTCCAGTAGAGTGAAATGCCACCAAGGTCAAAGGGAGCTCTGCACGTGCAGGAAAAGGCAACATTGAAGTGTAGTGCTCTGGTGTAAGTTAGTGTGTTTAATTGCTCTCTTTGATATAGTCCAATAAGAATATTTCTAGGTGTACAATCAAGAATTATACTGCCTTGTAAACATCCCTAGTGCCTCCAAAGGACTTGAAGTTAATGTACACATATATGCATATACGTGGTATATACATAAATTTGGCTTCTGAAATATTTACAGATGGGCCTATGATCTACAAGATCTACTTGAAGACAGAGCACAGTGATGAAAACAGAATTCTGGCTTGCTTGTGAAGCTTACAAGATCACATTACAGAGGAAAAGGATGGCTGTGGCTAGGAAACTTTTTACAAGTTACATTCAAACTCAGACTCCCAACAAGGTGAGACAATGTCATGAGCTCTTTCTTTCATCCAACAGAAATGTGTGATGTACAACATAGCTGACAAAAAGCAGAAATAAATGTCTAGCACCTCTTGTATTAAAGCAAGTTAAAACTGTTGCTATCCATCCTTCCCAAATTCTTTTGCACACAGAATTTAAATACTTGCATTCACCTTGCAGTCACCTTGTCCATAGGCAAATATTTCAACTATACCCAGCCAAGCAAAAGGCACAACTAGATTAATAACCAATTATTGGATCTGTTCTTTTTAGAATCTGATTCAGTGGCCATTGCTACCACTTCAATACAATTTGGATTACGCCACTGCTACATATAGATACTATTCTGGTCTTCACAAGAGTGAATATTAACAAAATACTGTCACCTTTGTAAAATGGACTATAAGAAGGGTTCCAAGACAGATTATTTTCTGCTTCCAGCAGCAGAAGATTTAGGGAAAACAGAGCAGACTTCTATGTAAAATGCTCCAGAGTGATTTATTTTTTTTCCTGACATGTGGCCATACAAAAAAGTAATTCGTGCTCAGCCAGTCATGCTCTGTGACCTTTAACTATCACTCGCTATTATTGTCCTTGCAGAAATAAGCTCATACTGGCTTTTACTGCCACTGCCTCTGGCAGACTGACATAACTGAAAAATCAGGCTAGATTATTTTCTGGTTTACTCATAACAATAAAACTATTATAGACTCTCAAAAAGCAGCCTCTCTGTTGACACTGAAGGGCAAGCCAAAACCAACTCAGCTGGATTTCCAAATGTTGGCTAAAAGCAGTTGCTGGTTTGAATGACTAAACCACTCCCACTAATCTAAAACTTGAGGAAATTTCAAAGTTCCCTCTGCTAGCTTTAAATGCCAATGGGAAAGACAATGCATTTTTCTGGTTTTTTCTGATTTTATTTTTAGCATGTGAAGCTATGGGAAATTCAACAAGACATTTTAATTTCCACAAAAGAAATGTCAGTATTGTCAACCACAAATCAATTAGTCAAGAGTAAGGGCTTAAATCAGGACAATTAAAAATAAGCTGTGTACATTTTTGCTAAAATAGTACATATTTGAACCTTGCTGTTTTCAGTCTGGTTTCTAGGTCTCTAGTGATTTCACATTTTCTTGGTATTCACACCAGAACTAGGTACCACTCTACAAAGGTGCTCATAAGGATTTTAAATACAGTCTATATTCAAATTTCAGCAGCATTTAAAAGGTGCAACTCATATTACTCTAGTGCAAGACCAAGATGCCAATCTCTGAAAGACATCAGTGTTAAGCTCTCATCTTTAGAGTTCTCCTCTCAACACTAACAAAGTCAAGCTAGAAAAAAAAAAAAAGCAATGTAATTCATCATGAGTTAATGGATTATCAAAAGTTCCCATTTTATCTTCTGGTATATTTTTGTATCACTAGATATTTCTACTCTTACATATGCACAGAGCTTCAATTTATCTGCTACAAACCCTGAATTACAGCAGAAGAGCTCTAGAAATAAAAATTTTCCTAAACAATGGTGACATATGGGCTCGGTTTTCTGTCTTTTTCAGAGATAACTTGATTTCAGCAGTAGGTTTTCACTGGTACTGTGCACCTCTAGCCTTATGAATACATTAGAAATCAGAAGTCAGGCTACCCCATCAGGGATCTAATCCCATTTTTAGGAACAATTATTAGCAAAAGCAAGGAGGGTTGGATCTCATCACCTTTCAGCTACTCCTTTGACTTTGGCCACTCCATGCCAACCATCTCCTCCAGATTTCCTCCTCCACCTAAGTCATACATATACTCTTATTCTTTCTAAAAGTGCCAAATGAATCAAACATATATCACTTAAGCTCTCTAAGGTTTGAAGTCTTGGGCCCATATTTACAATACTTTACCCCCACTGATTACAATAGTCAGGATTAAACTGGCTTTTCCATTAAGGGGAGATGTGGAGGATTCCATGCTTCTTGTCCCCAAAGGAACAAGCTCTTTATCCAGCCACTAACATACAGTACTAAATCAAACAGCAAAAAAGTAGCAAATTGGTCAACTAATAAGACAAGGTTTTCTGACATTATAAGGAAAAATCCACTCTTCTAGAATCCATATTTTTTGTTAGGTGCTGATTATAGATGAGAGGGCATATCGAAAGACACAAGTAAAAGGCATTCCATACAGGTCCCCTAAATTCAACCTTCCTTACCTTCCCTTTTCTAGGTATTCAGCTATACTTTAGTAATGTTGCGCTCTCTTTCAGATGAACAAACACAGTCCTGCAAGGAAATACATTATAAGAAATATTCAACAGCCAACACAGTCTTGTTTTGATGAAGCACAGAGAATAATTTACATGCACATGGAAAGAGATTCTTAACCACGATTTCTTGAATCAAAATTCTATGAACAACTCAAACAGTCTTCAAACTACTGATACTAATTCAACGGTAAATTAAAGAGAAAGGTGGAAAATTTAGGAGGTTGTTTTCTGGCTTGCCAGTGTTTAAGATTTTAAGTACTTAGAAACTACGAGCTAAACTGTTCTGCTGATGTTAGAACTGATGAGGCACTATCTTCCTCCTTACCTTTCTTTTCCTATGGAAGGGTTGCTTTTGTTTTCCTCTCCCCTCAATAGAACCCTAACAACTAATGAAAAATAGGTATATGAAGCTTTCAGCCAAAAATGATAGCCTAAAGTTATACTCTTATATTGATATTTGACAAATCTAATAACACACTTTCAGTATTCTTGTTTTGAGAAATCAGAAATCAAGTAGTTCTGCTGCTACGAAAAAAAAATAATCTGTATTTTCTTATATGCTATACAAGAAAAAAGTATCTGCATTGCTACACTTTGTTGTTGTTTTATTCTTATATTCTTTCAAAGTAAAATATAAATTGTGAAGTACAGCTGTTAACCAAACCTTAAGGTATGACGTATTCACATGGTGTAGAGTTGATTTTTATGCTGCATTATGATGTACTACATATCATAGAATCTTAGGGGTTGGAAGGGACCTCAAAAGATCATCTAGTCCACCCCCCCTGCCAGAGCAGGGTCACCTAGAGCGCATCACACAGGAACGCATCCAGGTGGGTTTTGAATATCTCCAGAGAAGGAGACTCCACAACCTCCCTGGGCAGTCTGTTCCACGGCTCTGTCACTCTCACAGTAAAAAAATTTTTTGGGATATTCACCTTGAACCTCCTATGCTCCAATTTACACCCATTACCCCTTGTCCTATCACTGGTCATCACTGAGAAAAGCCTAACTCCGTCCCCCTGACACTCACCCCTTACATATTTGTAAACATTGATGAGGTCATGCTATAAAGGTGCTTGGCATACAGTATAAGATAAGCCTCAGTGGCGTCTTGTCTTTTTTCTCAGTATGCACAAATACTTTGCTTTCCCTTCAGGTACCCTAATAATTAGATACAAGGCCACCTGACATTTGAACATCGTCCTGTAACACAAACAGATCTCTCTTGCGTATAAACTGTAAGACAACTTGTTAATTCATTGATCAAGTAATTAAGTACTTTGGTTTACTTTTGAAAACCAATCTGACTTCTCAGATCTCATTAACACTGGAATCTCTTAATTCATTTAATGGACTTCAGTGGAGACACTGAAAGCCACAGGAAGTCAGGGATTTAGTGGTCCTGCAGATGCCAGTGTCTCATAACAAATTAAAACTGTAGAAACTACTAAAAAGCAATTTATGCAGGGAAACAGACCTGTGACAAAAGCCAACCTGAGCAGAAAAAAACCTAAACAAGCAAAGAATTACACTGTGAAAAGCCTTCCCATTTCTGTTGGGATTAGGAATTAAGAAAAGCTAGGTATTGGTCTCTGAGTGGAAGAAGCTTATGATGACCAAGGACATCACCTTACTAAACAGGCTTAGCATAGTCTTCTAAAGGGGTTATATGAAGATGCTGATCAGATACTGTGTTCATAGACAGAACCTCAGAGAAATCAGAGGGACTCAGTTTTATAGTATGAAATGTTTAGTGTTTATTTTGCTAACAGGTCATGTGCCTAGCAATCCCTGTTCTTGGAGGGCATATTAAGTTTATATTTCCTTCTAGAAATTACTAAAAGTGTTTATGCATTATTTTAAAGTTGATAGAAGAGAGAGTCTTTTTCCCAAAATATATTTATGATTAACTGGTAGAGATCTTTCTCCTGTTTGATTTTTCTTGTTATATCAGAAGTGTGACAACAACAGTGCATATGATTCATAAAACAGTAACTAATGGCAGCAGCAATAACAAATCACTGCTTTTAACATTTTCATTAACAGCACTTGAATGAGCTCAGGTATACTTTCCACTGGCAGGCAACACTAAAAGGCATTTGCCCACATTAATCATTCAGGGCTACTGTTAAAAAGATTTAAAAAAAAAACAACAAAACACCTTTTAGATAACTAAATTGGCAGAGTTCTCACACTCCCCCATTTACTTAATATAAATTAAAAAAAAGTATTAAAAATTCAAAGCAATGACAGTTCTTCAAATACATAAAATCTGGGAAGATAAAAACATAGATTAAAAGAACCACTAGAGCAATTAATTGTATCCAGCCTTGGAAATTCTTGACCTATTGAGGCTCCCTAAAAACACAACCAGTCCATACTAAACAGATGGTCTAGGGGATTTTTTTGGTGTTTTTTTAATTGTTGTTTTTAAAAGAGCAGACAGAGCTTTTTAAATTTGTCATTATAAGCTATGTTGGCTTACTTCATATTCATACTCTGTTGTTCTACTGCTGTTTTCATGAGTTTTACCCTCTTGATGTGTAGGTGGTAAGTGTAGAATAACAAATGCAGATTGCATATCTGGTCTAAAAAACAAAGTAAACTTTTGCTTATTATTAGAGTTAGTAAAAACTTTTTTTTTTTTAACACAGATGAGTGCTAAATTTGACTATATAAAGTCTCTCCACAGTATGATCAAAAGCCGCCCCAAAATAAGTTTACAGGGTTTTCTGTCGAATTCTCTTAGTCATTCTTCCATATTACCTGTAGATATTTGATTTTAAATCCCAAGACAAACTATATGCAGTCTCCCTCTAAGCATAACAATGAAGTTATAACCAGAACTTAGTACTGTGGACAACCCATTTAAAAAAATTTTACAAGCAGAGATGTTTATCACTGACTACAGGGCAGATGAGGATGTTGAGGAACATACTAGCTCGGAGGAGAGGGAAATGACTGTAGCATTTCCAGGTATTGTTAAATAGACAGTCCTGTCACAATCACAGGTCCCTGTGGAAGCTGGTGTTCAGTCTAACAGTCATTAAACACAGGGAGAGTGCAATGGAAGGAGTGTTCAAGAGGAACATATTGCTGCACATGCCAGCTATCTGGATTCCATGGCTACAAACTAGAGCATTATCAGGACAAAAACTGCCTCCTAATGCAGGCTTGCCCAGTCTCCTGCAGGGAAACTTCACAGGGGCAGTAACCCCTCTCAGTAACATTGCCCACTTAAGATCTCAGTAACCCAGAGCAAGTGTATATCTTTGAGATGCTTTGATTTCAAAATCTTAAAATGCAAACTAAAAAAAAAAAGTATAATTTTTAAAAATTCAAATATAAAATAGCAGCCCCATTTCGTGGTCTGATTAGAATACACAAAGGACTGCAACATTTTTTCTTTAAATGAAAAAGAAAAAAGCAGGTGCAACAACGTAGAAAGAAAAACACAGGAGGTGCAAATTACATGTTGGGGAAAGAAAACATGTAACCACTTTTAGATATTATACATCATGAGTGTGTAGATTCTAAGAACTATGAATTATCATCACACCAGTAACAAGATATCAGCCAAGCAGCCAGACTGTACAATTGGTTCTTTAGTCAGGAATACAAACTGGTAAAAGCATGAGAGCATATTATGGATTCCAGGTAATGTCTTTCCATTTATTTTAATGTGTCTGCATTCTATAGGCTTATAGAAACAGTGACATAGGAGATATCGTGAGGTATTCTACAGATGGTCAGCATGAAGTACTTACACAACCTGTCCTGACTTAGTTGCATAAAAACTGTACAGTACATAGTGCTCTTGGACTAAAACATCCACTGGGGCTGGCAGGTCTGACACAGGAAGGTGGAGATACTGCCAATTCCCTGCTGCAGTGGCAAATGGAGGCCACAGGTATCCCAGAGCACCTCAGTGGAATTAGATGACTGTTTACACAACTGAATCAAGCCTGCTGTCTTAAATATATCAGCTAAAGGTTTCACATTTGCAAGCTCTTTTTACCCACCCCTAGCACCTCAAATCATTTACTGAAAAGCTCTTTTATCTGTAACTATTTTCCCTGCAGAATTGCCACCACAGGTACCTCAAGATGACCATGCTTATAAAAAAATATTCATGTCCTGTACCTCAGGTTTTGCTGAAATCAAAGTACAATGCACCTAACCCAGGGACTGAGAGCAGCACCTTACTGCAAGGACATAAACCTCACAAAATGGGAAACAGGATAAGTCCACCCTGAAAAGTTTATTTTGGTGTGGAGTTTTAGCCACAGCAATCCCCTACTGATGGGCTACAGACCTCCTTCACAACTCTAGTTCCTCAGTGGCACATCCTCTGGATTTCTGCGTCAGCTGCACAAATCTAAGGATAAGGGGGAAAGACCCAAATCTTTACAATATGAAGGAAGCAAGGTTGCAGTTCATCTTTCACAACCCCATACCCTGTAAGTTGTTTCTATGGGGCCACATGGATCTGTAGCATGTACATCTCTGTGGGAAACAAGACAGTGAGCCAAACCCTAAAAAAATAAACAAACAAAAAAAAACAACAAAAAACTTACTATGAGCATTGCTGTCCAGTTGCAAAGAACAGAAGCTTTATAGCAGTAGAAAGAGTGCACTGTTAGGTTGATAACAGGGACTAAGGTATAACATGAAACCACAGCTGAAATACTAAGTTTCATAGACATCACAAGTGCCAACAGCCACAAGTGAAAAATTGTCTCTGTATTTGCCAAGTCTTTAAGGAACATGGAATCCACAGGTTTAAGTTGTTACCTCTGCTTTGTACCCTGTCTTGCTTCTCTTGCTAGTCTCAGATTGATAAGAATATCCATCACTAGGACAGTTGTTACATACAGCACCAGCCAAGGCAAATAGTTCTTTCTCTCACACTCCTTGTCTGCAAACAGGGATTCCAGTAATCACCTCGGTAACAACAGGTGAGCAAACAAGAAAACTATTTTATTCTTTTCTTCCCCCCCCCCCCCCCCCCCCCCCCAAAGAAATGCTTAAGTACTCATCTGTTTCATGGCATTATTTTCTTTTTACCTTGCCATGATCCACTTAGCCTTTGCATAGAGGAAAAGTGTACAGGACTGTAACTTTAATTTCATGAACACTCAGGGAAAGACCTTTGTCTGGAAAGTTCTAAAAGCAGTTCTAATACATTTGCAATTATATCAAGATATACCATTCACAACACATGATTTGGTCAATTATTAATGGGACATTCGGTAACATGGCAGATTGTATCACTTCTCAACAGTGGAAGTCATAAATATTTCCTATTAATTACTCCCTATCAATGAAGATACACCTAGTTTTTAGTCTCATAATTCAAGAAGTTAATCATTAATTGAAAAATTCAAAAGGAAGAGATATCTAGAAAATTCTAGCCTGTGAATCACTGTCCCTGTTGGCCCTTTACTCATAATTTTGTTTGCTGCTGAAATAATTTTATAAGAACAGAAGTGGACTTTATAACTGATATTTTTTCTCATTTCAGTTCAGATACCAGTGCAAGAATTACTTGTTTGTTCTTCTTCACTCCATTGCTACGTTTTCTTTAGCTGTATTTTTGCAAGTTTGCTGGTAGCCATTCTGTTCTTGTTTTCTATTACACTTTTTTCTTTGTATATCTATCTTGATAACTCTCCAAGTTGCTTCCCTTTCTACCTGCCTCAGTTGCTCTTTCCATTCAATAGTGATTTTTAAGGGGATTTAACACTCATACATTTAACAGTATTTTAAAGGGTTTGTGGTTTGTTTGTTTAAATAACTCAAGACTTACATCCTGTAAATTGCATTGGTTTTAGATTACTATCATCACTTACAACCCTTTTGGACAAGTGCATACTGTTTCAGAAGCAACTTTGATGCTACTTTAAAGACTTCTCCCCACCCTGTACACATTGAGCCTTCCAGCATGGTGTCCAGCATCATTAGAGTCTGTCTCCATAATCAAGCCAGAGAACATGCCCCAAAGCACCACTTGTGTGTCAGCACACAAAGTCTTCCCAGAAATGCTGCTCAGAGACAGGTTTCCTATAGTCCCCCTCAACCCAAGACAAAGTAAAACTTTGCTTGCCTAGGGCAGCTGTCTGCTGCTCTGAAGGGCTGCCACCCACCTAGCCCACAGACTGCATGGGCCTCTTGATCAAATCACAGGGATTAAAAGACTGAGATAGTGAATCCCACGTTATCAAATGCAATTCCAGAATACAAACACAGCAACAGTTCCACAGAACGAATTACAGTTTGACTATTCTAGTTAACCTTTTATTGCTGCTACATCAGCATGGCAATTACTTCCTAGCAACATGATTAGTGGTAAAAGTGTAAAATTCAAAGGATGATAAGCCTGTATTGTCTTTGCACTTGTAGCACACTGGATGAACAGTTCACTGACTTTTAAAACCAGATAGTTTTACATTCCTACGTATTAAACAGTGGGCAAAAACCACCTCTAGTATTGATTATAAAACTAAAGCAAGTTGTAAAAAAATCAGAGCATTTACCAAGCTGAAGTATTACAAAAACTTCAGAGCTTTTTTCAGCACAATCAGAAATTAGATCAAATAGAAATGATGAAATCTTGCAAATTGCCTGTTCTGACTGGTGAAAGCCTAATAGAACATGCTAATCGTTTTACCTCTAGCAACTTAGTCTAGATTTACCAATTATTGTGCAGTGGTGTATGAAGCTAATAGTCTAAATAACCCAGTTATTTTTTCACAGCTTTTGAAATAATTCCAACTTCTGTATCTGCACTGGGTCTGCCAGTCATTTTGGCTGTAAGATAACTTTTCTACCCAGCATCTAACAGTTTACAAGTGAAGTCAGCTATGTGGAATACAACTACAGCATTTGTAAAAAGGTATTAATCTACTCTGCCCACACTTGACATCAGCAGAAGAAAGCTCAGTTCCAGTGCCAAGAACTATCTGACCCCACTAGCAAAAGTTTATAACCATTGCTGAGAAGCAACTTTGATAAAAGCTCATCCCATGACTCTGAGGCAGTTAGGCTTTAGCAGTGATGTAATTTGGAAAGATTTCTGGACAGAGGACTAGACTGCCATATGTTTACATTATGTTAATGCTGGTAGTTCTCACAGAAAGCTCCAGAGCATTAGTGCATGCTGCCTTAGAAAACTCATGAAAGAGTAAGGTAAGAAACTTAATGAGACACAGACACACACCATGTTTCCTGAACAAGTATTGGCCCAAATAAAACAAGCAGCTGAAAGAAGTCTGGAAGAAGGCTGACTCATCTCTAGCCTGACCTCTTCCCTCCACCTTCCTTTTTGACCAAGACCCATGCAGATAGACAACCCACTCCCAGTCCACAAGGGCTTGAGTAGAGCCTCTCACAGTATCCTGTAAGAAGGCTGCAGGACAGCTTTATCCACCTCCATTGGCACAGGCCTTGCCTTGCAAGGCAGTTGGATTTTCAGGACTCTTTGAATGGAAAACCACAACAGACTGGGGCACTTTCTTTATCCATTACAACCACCGGATGAAATGTTACCCCTGCACCAAAGGCAACCAAACTCCAACATTGTACTTCATGAAATCTATCAGTTGCAGGAGTGCTTGGGTGCAATTACTGTACTGTTAATGGTGATGGTTAAGTGTTCAAAGGGATAGGGTTAAAAATTGGGACAATATGAGTAAAACTCAGTTATTCATTAATATAAATTCTTCTAAAATGTCAAACTAAACCCAGAATATCCACATTACCACATCAAGCAATCTTAAATTACATCTATTTTGGTAAGAGGGCATAATTATGCATTTTTATATTAGAAAATATTTTTCATGTGTGCTTCTTAAAAACCCCACATAACAATCTGCCTTAATCATTCAGGTATACAGAGGCATTTAGAGACAAACTGCATCAGAAAAACATCTAGGCATAAATCAGAAAATGTAAGTTTCTAACAGACCTTCCTAATTCTATTATTTATTTTTTTTTTCATTAAAAACCACAATTAACATGTGACTAGCAGGCTTCACAAGGCAGAATGTTTTAATTAGGACACCACTCCTGCAAGATGAGAAATAACAAGAGCTAAGAACAGAAACAAAACTATAAAAAGACTGTGGCTTCCCATTTAGTCCAACACAAAACTTTCTAAACCTCTCACAAACAATTTTAAAGTCTTCCACATGTGGAAGAGATCAGAAACTTTCTTCTGCCTCCCAACTTGTGCACACACCATTCATGCAAATTCACCAGCATACATTGGAACAGCAACATCTAAGACTGATCATATTTAGCCCAGATGTGTAATAATATTACTGAAGCAATGAAAAAAGCATTTATGACTAGTGTTGTAAAGAGGGCAATTTGGATCCCATGGGAAATACCAGGATAGAAACTCAGCATTCCTTGGGTTCTCAATGAATCAAAATGGCTTTTGGTCAGTTTTCCACTGTTGCTATTTTTCTTTTGTTTCCAGCTCCACTCCTTCTTGGCCAAGCAGCTCTGTTGACAGATGTACAAAGCAGACCTGCCTGGACAGGCATAGCTGAGTCTCATCTTACGTGATAAAGAAAATATGGTCCTCAAACACATACAGGAAACTAAAAGTGTTACTGCTTCTTGTCTAAAGAGCTCTATCAGGAAATAATTGCACTGTTATTTAAATTCAGCTACCAACCATTACTCTTCTTTTTAATGTGAAGTGAAAGATTTGAAAATAATTTACATCAATGAATGATTTAAGTCTGTAATGAGTGATAAAGCTCACTGAAGCTAAAAGCACAAAGCGTACTCTGCTTTAGTGCAGTGTGACAAATGAAATGGCAGATGCAACCACACTATCCAATGCAGAATTAATCCCAAACCAGATTCCTAGATAAGTGAAGAAACAAGAAGTACAATATCACAAGAGGGGATGTACCTACACCTACAACATCAATCAAAAAAAGAAGAGAAACAAACACAAACCAGCACTTCAAATGTAAAGACACAACTTGAACAACTTCCATATGGAGTTATTTAAAGTACATTGTATTTTATTCCTGTATTAATCCTGCACTCATCCTGACCAACCCTTACTGACCAGGGAAGGGGGTGAACAACAATTTGCAACAATTTGATAATAAAAGAAGGATCTGTCTGACACACAGAAATGAGATTTCAATGGTACTTTCACAGGCAGACCAGCATTTAGGAAAATGTCTGGGAAATATCTAAGTTATACCCTTTTACAAACCTTCTTCGCAACCTCTCCAAAGCCACAGCTTTTTAAACATGCAAAGAGTCCAGTTATATCACTCAGTCACTTTGATATCAAAGTTCAATTGGAACCATCCCTTCCAGTTAGCACTGCTGTGCAGCCAAAACTGCCCCAAGAGAAAGGAAGGCAGTAACTGGATACAGCACTATTTCTGTCATGTAGCTGAAGTCTTATGCTTCCCTGTGTTTCTAGTTCATGTTTTTAAAAGTAACACTGCTGTCAAGCATCAGCTTAACATCCCCCAAAAACATCTGAAAGGCCTCATCAGCTCCCAGCAAGATTTCCAGGGAACATATGGCTGATCTCTCACACACAAAAACCCCCAACCAGTCCTCAAAACTGAGCAAGCTCACCAACTACATTAACAAATAACCTAGTTTTTCTGGTTTATAAAAAGATGTAGTTAGCTTATACGAACAGTTATTTATTGCTTGAAGTGTTTTCTTGTTTCTGTGGCTTTTTTCTATTCCGTTTTCTTCTTCCTCTCTCATTCTTTATTAAAGATCACACTTAAAAATAGAGGTAGGACTTCCTTCTTCAATTACAACTCCCATACATAGTTCTTAAGTCTGTAACCAGCACATCCCATGAGATAAGTTTTACTTCAAGTATAATGGTACCTTTGCAGTCACACCACATCTGCACAACCTGGGCCTGTAACCTTTTTTTCCTATTGAGTGCAAATTAGCCTGCTAGTAATGTAACACACTGAAGTAACAAAACAATTCTATCTAATGACAGGTGATGACAAAGCACTTCTAGAACTGCAGATGACAGTGTCCAGAATGGGAAGGTATAACAACTATTGTCAGTGGAGAGAAAAAAAACCCATAGCAACAAAACAACAAACCCAGCAAGCCCATGCACTTCCTTTACCTTTCAAGTTCTTGCTGCTTCAGCTTTCCCCCAACCAGTGTATTTGAGGACCAGGGGAAGGGGTTTTTTCCTGTTTAGTTTTTTCTTCTCCCCCCCATTAGAAACATCTGGCTTCATACAAAGTCCTGAATAGCCCAGCTAATTAAAATACACTTTATATTGGCTAGTTCCTGGGCATGCCCCTTTAGATTCTCAGCAAGATTAGTCATGTATTTTTCATTAATTTTCCTAAGTTATTTTCTCCCCTTAGAGATAAATCTGATATTTTATGTAGTGGCCATGCTTAAATTTCAAGAGACCACTCCTGCCATCCAGTTTTGAAGAATAATGCAGTGCCTCATTCAAAGCCAGAAGTAGATATCCTAAATCCCTACATCCCACAAATAGAGAGCTTTAGGTTATACCACAATGAGTTTCCACCTCCTGCCAATACCTGATTGAAATAATTTGATCAGCATCCTCAGCTGCTCTATGGAAGAAAATTGTTAAGTCTGGTTACACAAAGTGGAGCAGACAAGAGTTACACAGCCAGTCATCTGCTGCTTTACATAGACCTCTGAAAATACCCCTTCCTGCAATACCTGATTGAAATAATTTGATCAGCATCCTCAGCTGCTCTATGGAAGAAAATTGTTAAGTCTGGTTACACAAAGTGGAGCAGACAAGAGTTACACAGCCAGTCATCTGCTGCTTTACATAGACCTCTGAAAATAAATGGAGGATATGGGGTTTTCAAGCCAGGTCTCTCATACACCACCTGAGTGTCCAGACGATATGTTTTAGGTGTTTTTCTCTCAACTTTGGAAAGAGATGAGAAATCTTGGCCAGCAGAAACTCAGATACAATTGATTTTTATCAAAACTAAAAAGACTAATGCGATTAAAATTTTCTTCTTCCATAGAAATCTACAATTTCTGAAAAGGAGAAAAACACTGATACACAAAGAGCTTGTAGCCAGGGCAATTGAAGTGTTCAGCTGAGCTAAAACTTTCATTTATGAAAGTAATGCAGGTGTGCAACTGAGACATTCATATGAATTTTGCCTTGAGTTTTTGGTTTTTATGTTTATGCAAGATACTTGGAATATGACAGGAAACTAAACTTACTATGCTTGTTTTCACAAGCTTATTACCAGGGTTAGATACCAAGAAGGAAGGGAAAGACAAGAAAGCTAAAGTTCATCAGCTATATCTAACAGCCACATATCTTAAAGTGATATTTGCCATAAGTGAAATGTTCCATTAGTTATCATATGAATCTGTTGAATGCGTGTATTTCAGCTCCCTTATGTCATGCAATCTTTCCATAAAAATAAAGGGAAAGTGATGCCACAAATGGGGGGAAAAAAGTGCAGCTAGTACATAGATTTAGCAGGCTCATTTAGAAAATAATCCAACAGTACAGAACAGATTAGATATGTAACTGAAAAATCTCCATCCTTTTTCTTCAGTGCACAACTTGAAAGAAAATACAGGCATGCTAAAGTACAAGAAACCTCTGCCAGACAATTAGATGAGATATAAAGATCACTCTAGTTGTTTTATAAACATGCACAGCACACCACTATGCCATTCTTTTCCATCAGCTATGGGCCAAAACTCCAATAAAGAGCAACTGACAGCAATTAATTTACATTAAGAATAAACTTAGTATTTCCAGGCAATCCTACATGGACTACAATACTTGGAATAGAAAGCCCAACAACATAAGTGAAACAGGCAATATGTACTTGCCACTGTAATTAGAGTAAGAGATTAAAATAACTACTGTGCAAACAAAAGACCAAAGCAAACAGTATTGTTTCTGGTACCCAGAAGCCAGTGGTGATTTTTCCTTTTCCTTCCCTCCCACCTTCCCCCTCCCCCCCCCCTTCTTTTT